AACCTAAGTCAGTAAGAATAACATGTGGCTATGTTAAAAACCCTTCTTCCCCAAACAAACCCATTTGCCAGTGGGATCTTTGGCATCTAAGACCAGAGTTTGATTTAACTGTATCCCTAAGGATCCATTTTCTGCTATCAAGACTCAGAGAATGCTCAGGTACCTCGTGAACCTGCTCCCCCAGACAACCAATGACAGGCTTCCTGTCACCATAGATTAGCTTGCCTTCTCTAGGATGTCTTGTAAATGGACATCATATAACATATACTCTTTTTAAAAATTGGTCTGTCTTCTTTCACACAGCATACTTATTATGAAATTCATTCATGCTGTATCAATAGCCTATATATTTTTGTTGCTGAGTAGTGTTCCATTATAACAGGTAGACGACATTTGTTTCATCCATTCATCTGCTGATGGATTCTGGGTTGTTTCCAGCTTTTTGTCATAGCAAATAGAGCTGCTGGGACACTCAGGAGTGAGCCTGTGTGTGGACCTAAGCTTTCATTGCATGCTCTAGGTACAAACCTTTGGCTGGACATACGTTTTGCAAATATTTTCTCCCAATGTGGCTTGTCTTTCTATTTTCATAGCAGTGTCTTTTGAGGATCAATGTTTTTAATTTGATGACATCCAATTTGTTGATTTTATCTTTATTTTGACATTTATAGTTCTTTTTTTTTTGTCTTATTTAAGAAATCTTTGTCAAATCCAAGGTTACTACTCTTGTTTTTTTCTAAAGTTTTATAGTCTTGGCTCTTATATTTACAATCCATTTCAAGTTATTTTTTTTTTTACAGTATACTACATAATCATTTCATATATATATATATATATACATATATATATATAGTTTATAGAATCATAAAAATACTCATTCATAAATATTAACTGAAGAGGTCCCAATACCAATTTTAATATACAGTATCGGCACTACTTGATAACCAAGTTTTGACAAAACCAAACCAATGGACAAAGCCTATGAATGGAAGAAAATATGTTGAAATATCTTAATTCCTATTTTAAGATTATATGGCCATTGCCTATTTCTTGTTGCTTTTTACTTTTCTATGTTTTCCATAATAAGTATCACCTATCATTATAAAAAATAATTGCAATATTGTAAAAGAACAACAGGAAAAAGTCACTTAACAGGCTTCTTGATTCCAAGCTCCCTTCACAATGTTCTTAAAAGCATAAATGGCCCCTTTGGAGAACACACTACCAGGAATTGCCCTTTTCCCAAGCTTAATAGCAGGAAGAAATGAAATACAAAATTTGCAATAAATAAATAAATAAATAAATAAAATTCTCCAAAGAGAATGTGAGTTTAGCTGAAGCCTCTAGAACAGCTGTTCTCAACCTATGGGTCACAACCCCTTTGGGGGTCGAACGACCCTTTCACAGGGGTCGCCTAAGACATAACAGTAGCAAAATAACAGTTATGAAGTAGCAATGAAAATAATTGTATGGTTGGCGGGGGTCACCACAACATGAGGAACTGTGTTAAAGAGTCGCGGCATTAGGAAGGTTGAGAACCACTGCTCCAGAAGAAACCAAATACAAACCCAAACACAACCCTGATAAAGGGAATTCCAGGAGCTGAAGGGCTGGTTGCCCAGCTTGCTCCCCCCCGAAACTGCTTGCCCTGAACTCTGCAGTCCCAGACCTGTGTATCAAACCACTAGCTTCTCCACTCACTCCACCTCTGCCAGCAAGGAAAGCTAATGAAATTCTGTTGCAAATGTGCTCACTGTCCTTCCATCTCAGTCTGCTTGTGAAGACAGCCCAAGTCTGCAGCCTATACTCAGCCCAAGGCTGGTCCAGCGCCCCTCCGTGTGTGCCCATTCCTGCCTGTCTGGCGGCGGGATTTGCCTCTTGAGCTGCTGCAGACGCCAGATTGGCTGATGGAATTGCCTACAGATGTTTCACAGAGAGATTACTTCCCTGATTGATGAATATATAGCGTTGTCAACATGGTTCCCACGGTCAGAGGGGGCCCCTGAAGTATAATGTGGAAAGACAGATGTTTCATCTGGGCAGGTGTCCAAGACCCTAAGGAGAGGCATGCACACGGCTAATACAGTGGGCCCAGCAATTCAGGCTCTGAGAGGGAGAGAGGGAGGCTGGACCCAGAACCACAGGCAATACCATTGCAGGGCCTCTTGGTTCAGGCCACCTCCCAAATCCTAAGAAGGGATTGGCATGTCTCCTTAATCAGACTCTTCTTTGGGTTGTTTTTCTGATAAATAGACAATGTTATTGGAAATGTAGTCATCTTCTTAGTCCTTATCTGCTGTGAATCACAACAGGGGCGGCAGAAATGAGCTGGAATCCTCACGCTAAACCTCCCAGGCTTCCCAGGCAGGGCCTGCAAGGGCGCAAGGCACTGGGGGTGAGCCCCTTCTGTTCAGGAGTGTGCGACTCTGAGGTTTGCTGGCTGACCTTCCAGAATGAATCAGCCAATAAGAACTATTACCATAACTGTTTTAGTAATTGGAAGATAGCTGTCATTATGTGACAACAAAGGTGTCATTATATACCTTTATCTTATCGAACTCCCAAACATACACACAAAATACCCTATGCAAAGATTAGTAAAATTTACTACCCATAAATACTCTCTGCAAGAATTACTAGAGGATGTATTCCAGCAAATAGAAAAGAATAAATACTTTCATTAAACCCATTTTACAAATGTGAAAGCACAGATTCAGAAAGGTAAAGTAATTAGCCAAGGTTACAAGGCTAGGAAGCAGCTAACCTTGGAACGGAGCCCGGATTGGTCTCGTTCCCAAATCTATGCTTTAGACACTGCAATCTTATGGTCACCAGATGTGGGAGGTGAGGATTACACTTCAACACAGCAAAAATGTGTTGGTGCTTCCGAAACAGAACCATGGCTGGCCCAGGAAAACACTATTTACACCTGGATATGCCTGCATATCAATGAGATGGCTATCTCAGTCTCAAGCAGGTTTGAGTTTAAAACTAAAGATCTCATATCTGGCACTTCCAGAAAGGGCTCTATTCTAGGAGGAAACAGGCAATGGACTCTCCAGATTACACACACACACACACACACACACACACACACACACCCAGATGGCTGAACAACCCAGAACACTATCCCAAAGGATATTTGGGTATTTGCAGCCCAAGAGGCCATATCCTCCTTCCTCAAGATCAAGTGTGACAGGAGACTCTAGGATAGTTTTCTCAGAGTAAGCATGCCTTAAAAGGAATTTCTAATATCAAAAATGTATTTTGTACAACCCAGTCCACAGTGAACCTGATTTTCCTGGAGGGTGGAAATAGGGTCTCTTGCCGACCTCTCTAGCCTCAGTCCAGACATGAACCTGCAGGCGCACTGGGGACCGAGGCCCTTCTGTGGAAGGACAACGAGTGAATGGAGACGAGGTCAGGCCGAGTGGAGAGGGCAGCAGTAGCAGTGATGGAAACATCAGCATTGTAGCCGACAGCCCTGGGCTTGCATCACGGCTGCTGCGCCCTAAAGACACAAGCCAATCACGAATGCCTCTCTCTGCCTCAGTTCTCTCGTTGTTAGAGTAGAGACAAAAATAAACACCAACTAGGCAACACAGCTGGGAGAATTCAAGAACTCGGGTGCTGAGCACAATGCCGGGCACATGCTACGGTTTTGGGGGTGAGATCTTTCTTTACCTCCAGGAAGAGTATTCCTGTCTGAGGGAACAGCAAAGCAAACTCAACCAGATTACAATACCTTGCCTCTCAGTCCCACAGAGACAACGCTCACAGTGCCAGGAATGTTTTCAGGTGAGCGCAGAGCTAGGTCTGTGCTGCAGGTACCGTGTGGGGAGGCAGAGGGGCGGAGGCACCTTGCTCTCAGAGGACGGGGCTCCTCCGCATAACCAGCGGAAACCAAGTAGGGGATTGAGGGAAATTAAAACATAGTCCAAGAAGAGCAGTCAGAGGGACCAGCTTTGCTGAGACCTCAAGAGCTAAGGGATGAGACAGGACACATTCAATGGTTCTAGGGCCAAATTGGAATGAACAAGTAGAAGTTACAGGGAGGCAGATTTCAGTGGGAACTGAGTTTCAGAAAGGCTGCCTTCTGTGCCTCAGGTGAATGGCAGAGCAAGTGGCCGAATCCAGAGTAGGTGTCTTGCTCCAGTGCCCTGTCGCCACACCTGTCCACTGCCCACACAGTGCAAGGACAGGGGGCACAGGCACTGAAATCATCCTTCTCCCCCCATCCTCACCCAATCCCTGTCTTAAAGAAAGCCTGCCTTCTGTGTTTCTGTGTCTGCTTTCTTGCTTTGAGCACCCTTGCAGGACTGAAGACAGAAGCAGGCTGAATCAAAGGCTCGTTCGGTCATTTGTAAAAGCCTACGCCCACTGGCTGGGCAATGCTGGGAGTGGGTGGGGAGAAGCAAAGGCTTTAAAAACCCTGCAGACAGTGGGGGACCTCCCCTGGGCTGGGGCAGACAGGATATCAGAAGCTTCCCTATGAGGAAAGAGCAAGACATGTTCTCAGAAGGAATGGTGGTGTGCTGGCCCTGAAGTGGCAGCACCCCAAACCAGGGCACCCAGCCAGACAAACACGCCCACATTCTGTATGGGCATGAAGCGGAATTCCCTGGGCCTTGGGGACTTCAAAGGATTACTGTGGTGGGGATGTCAGTGGCAACCAGGAGACCAGAGTTTCTGCCCTGTGTTCTTAGCTACAGGCTTCCTGGGTCCTGGGGTCATTCTGGGAGGAGGGACAGTACTAATAATGACCAGAAAAGGACTTTCTGTTCTGCTCAGGTGAGGGCCAAGTCAAATAAAGTTGAATGAAAGGAAGTAAGCTATTGACATCCTTTGCAAATCTGTGTCTGGGAACCACAGCAGGAATGCAGGCACCAAATACCATATCCAACGGTGGCAGCACAAACACCTGCTCGCCCTCTCCCCCGCCCCAGTCAGAGATGGGGCACCCCCAGATCCGCCAGCTGGAGCCCCGCCTCTGGTCTTACCTGGGGAGCAGGTGCTTGCGGCTGACACACAGGGCAGTCTGGTAGTCCTGGGTCACACACACCTTGTGTGGGCTGCATTTCGCCTTCAGGCAGGGGTCTTTGGATGGGTCCAGGGCTGAGGCAAAGAAAAGAACAAAAACAGGGCAGTTAGGACCTCCAGGGAATGTGTACTTTCTGTTCCTACTGGAAGAGCCAACTGGGAAGTGAACAGACCATGTGCTGCACTCTGTGCTGTTTTCTTAGGCTGGAGGAGACGGGAATGAAACTGACATGGAAAGGGGTCTGTGTCTACTGCACACGTTTTTCTCCGCATCAGGACATGACTCCTTTGTGCCTGGGGAGTTCATCTTCAGCAGGAATTACTTTTAAAACCCTTTAAATCTTACATGCTTTCAGGCCCAGGAGTTACTTTTCCCTCTTTTGTTTTTTTGTCTGCTGTTGCTTTTTATGACTTTATCCGTGCCTAATTTTACTTATTTCCTGTAAAATAAAAAGTCCTTGAGGACAGAGTTCTTTGTTTTCGCCTTTTTGGGGGCTTCAGTTTGTGCACATGGACCCTGTGCACACACAGGTCTGTCTGAAGTGCAGTGAAGGGCTCCCAGATGCACGAGACCGTTTGTGCCACGCTGAGCTACAATGTGACAGGGAGGGAAGCGCACCCATACATATTTATTGCGCAAGAAGACTTAGATAAGGGCCATGATGGGTATGTGAAGTGATAACAGAGCTGGAGAGAAAAACAGAGATCAATTTCTGGGGCAAGGATTAATGAAGCATTAATATGTGAACTGGATTTTGAAGGATGGGCAGAATTTTGCAAAGCAAAGAGAGAAGAGGTGCCCCAGGCTGGGCGACGGCACATGCCAATGAAGGGAGGCATGTGTGGGCGATCAGAAGACATCCCATCTGACCATGAGTGCGCTCTGCATGGGAATAATGGGAGGGGGCAATGATTCGCCCCAGTCACTGGAGAAAGGGTCTCCAAGGACAGCAGTTCCTACTGCAACATTTGCAGAACAGGCAGAGCAGCTGGCCCTGAGCTCACGGCCCTCCACCTGCTGGGGTGGCCACCCCTGCGAGATTCTCTGCCAACAAAAGCAATCGTGCCTCCTCCCAGCTCCAGAGCCTGAAGCCCGTAAGGCTATAGCTCTCTCATAACTGCTCTCCACAGCCAGGGAGGGGAGGTTTCCCGTGTCCTCCCCACGAAGACACTTGGTTAAACAAATGGGCATCCAGAGCAGGGACAGAACACTTGCCAGGAGAAATGCCGTCGTCCCTCCACCATGGGCCTCGCCCTCATGATCCCCCTGCACTCAGACAAAGTCATCATCCCTCAGCCTGCTCTGGCCCAGAGTCTCAACACCATTTTCTTCAGACAGCTACTGGGAATGTCGCACGGGACCTGAACACAAACATCCAAAGGCCACTCTGCCCTGTGCACAGCTCAGGACGCACCCGCTGCAGAGGCAGCTTCAGCACTGAGAACAGAAACCAGGGCACTCTCAGGCCAAGCAGGTCAGCAACCGCACCGGGTGCTGGCCGGTCCCAGGGACCCGCCTGGCGGGCCACACTTCCCAAGGAATCTGCTGGAGCTCAGCAGAAGGAGACGGGCTGTGAGATGGACCAGAGGCTGACCAGAGCCCCGGGACAGAGGCGCTCCTGCTCCTGAGCGGAGGGCCGCCTCGGCACTCTGGGTCTGCCCTCAAGTCCTCTGAGCTGGGCTTTCAGGTGCAACTCTCGTCCTGGGACTTCCACACAAGGAGCCCAGGTGCTGGTGTATCTCAGGGTGGCTCTGTCCCTCAACCAACTTTGATTACTTTCCAAGACTCATCCCAAATGGAGCCCACAAGGAAGACTGATACCAGATGACATTAGTGATGACCAAGCTGGTCCTCTTCTGCCCCTCTCACACTTCCAAACACAGGCCGCAGTACGACACTGGAGGATCTCAAGGAGCTTGGGACCAGACCACTGGCAGCCCCGGCCACAGGTAGCAGCTGAGGGGCTTCCCTGATAGATGCCACCCAACCCTTGGGGTTTTCACTGGAGTGAACTCAGAGATGGGGACTAGCAGGCTGGCCTGCGTATTGGGTGCCAGACTCTGCAGCGCTCCATGACAAGCTCTAGGGCCCAATCCGAGCATCTTTTTGCTTTTGCAGCCAACTTCACAAATACGCCATGTCCCCACGGCCACCTGGAGGGCCTCGGTGGGCAGTGCCATCTCAAGGCAGGGAGGTCAGCAAGCACAGCGAGAACACTCTCAGCCCCGTGTTTCTGAGTCGAAATGCTGGCTCTGCTTCTTACCAGCCGTTCTGTACCTCAGCTGCCTCTTCTGTTCAACAGGATAACAGGACCTACTACTGCTTTTGGTTGTTACAAGGATTAAACGATTTAATACATGTAAGTACTTAGGAAAGACATGGTACTACATGTAAGTGCTTAGCACAGACCTCTTAGGTGTTTGTTAATTTTGTGTGTGTGTCTATAATTTGTTCCCAGTTAGTAAGAAGCCTTCATAATAACAAGGACAATAGTGAACACTTGCCTTGTGCTTCTGACATCCAGCCCTCTAACGAGATTACCGTTTCAAATTCTCACAGCCACCCGATGCTGTCAATGTGCCCATTTCACAAGTAAAGGTCTTCCAGCGAAGTCCCCGGTGTGAGGTGCAGAGGGTGTCTGACGCCTGGTGGCTGACTCCAGAGCCCAAACTCCTTACTGCCACAAGCCAGCAGTAGGAGAAGCACCTAGGGTCCCCTTTCACAGGCGGACTGCAGGCCCCACCTCCCGACAGACACAGACCAGGTGCCCCAGGCTCCTGAGAGCCCTTCCAGGCAGAATGAGTCTTCAGGGGTAAAAGTGAGGGGCAGCAGGGCCTGGTGCTGCCTGGCTGGGCCACACAGGGCTGCCCCGACATGCCACACACAGCCTCAGTGCTCCCCAGAAGGCGGGGTGCCCAGCCTGGACAAGGGCACCCTCTGCCTACTCCCTCTAAATGCAGCCACCCCTCCACTAAGTCAACTGACCAGTGGTCTGGTCATTTTTTTTCCTGCAGCCTTGCCATTTGTCACCCTACCCTTAGGCTCATACTATTAGTCACCCCTCCTCCGATGCTCAATGCTAGCATTACTAAAACAAACAAACAAATTCCGACCAAAAACACTAAATGAAAATCATCAGTTACTTAACTCCCTACACACACTTCCTTAACAATTTGCATATAAAAATCAAGTTCGCTAAAAATTAATTACTGGGTACTGAATACTTCAAACACGTATGTGAATTATTTAAATGAACTTCACAGAACAACAAAACAGTAACAAATCAAGCTCAAGCTGTCAGCGTTTATTTAATCACCAGGATTGGTCTTGTTTTTGAAAAACAGAACCCTTGGAATTAAAAGGGACGTGGACGGTAAAAGGAGTGTGTCCTTTCCATTTAAATGCGGCCTCAGTAAGCTTTTCCTAGCAGTCCCAAAGCTCCAGGGACACTCCTGCAAGGCACCCAGAACCTGTTCTGAACAGGGCCCTGTGGCTCCACTTTAAAGGGGATGATAAGACATCAGAATAGTAAGTGGCATTTAGGGGACAAGGTGCAGGGAAATCCTGCAGGCCAGGAGGGGAGAGGTAAGGAGAGAGGGGGCTGAGTGTTCCTGCGTGATAACCCTGACCAGGGCCAGAAGCTTCTTGTCAGGTGCTAATGACTTCTGCAGACTGGGCTCCAGGTGTCTGTCCCCAAACAGGGGCTTGGTGTCAGGACTCAGGATCCCCATAAGATAGCAAAGCCCTACGTCCCCTCCCCCTCGTCCATCTCAGCAACCTGAGGACTCTGGTGGACTTAAGCAGCATGTGCCCAGCACAGAGCAGACCCCACAGGCTTATTGTCATCTTTCCTGTCCATGAGCAGGTGTCAACTGGCATATAACACATGTCCAGATAATGTTTAAGTGACTTTTACAAAAACTTTTTTTTTTAATTTTATTTTTGTTACAGATGTTTCTCCTTTTGTACTCCATTGACACCCTTCTCCCCTTCCCCGGCTTTGTTGTTCATGTCCATGGTTATGCCTTCATGCATATAAGTTCTGTGGTTTATCTCTTCCCTCCCCCCACCTCCTCCTCTTCTGAGGGTTGTCATTCTGTACCCTACTTCCATGTCTCTGGGTCTACCCTGTTCCTCAGACTGTGATATTCATTATATTCCATAAATAAGTGAGATCATGTGGTATTACAAAAACTTTTTTCAAAGGAAAAAACAAGAATGAATTAAAGAGAGATTTATTGGGCTGAAAAACACTGAATTCAAAAGCCAATTAATTACAGGTTGAGTGTAATTTTTAAAATTAATTTTATTGTTTAAGCTCACTGCTTGATCTCAACTAAGGTACTGCAGTGCTATTTTAATTGACCCTGAACTTGCTTTCAGTTGGAGTTATTTTTAATTAGCTACACTGCTTTTAAAACGCTGACTCAAGCCTTTCGCTGTCCTTGGGCACATCCGGTAGCTCACAGGCAAAGGGCCATGACTGTTGCAGCCGCGGAGCGGCCCCGCCCCAGAGAGCTGCGGCCAGAGGAGGTTCCCTTTTGTGTTACCCAAAGGGTCCCTGAGAGTCCCCTGACAGTGACACTGCTGGTGTTCATTCCATTAATACTTGCAGAGCGTCATTCTGTGCAGGGGTTTTGCAGGCAGAGGCCAGCACCTCCAGAATGAACAAGATGTCCTCGAGGAGCTCACAACTCAGGAGAGACAGGAGGGTAAGTTCTATGTTATGGAGGGCCAGGCTGGTTCCTCATGCAGCCTTCCAGGGGCTGGGTTACTTTCTGGAGAGACTGACATTTATGGAAAAGTGGGGTTAACCCCATAACAGACTGAGGAAGGACCTTCCAGATAAAAAGAAGCTCCTTTCGCGACGTGAGAGGAAGCACGCGATGTGGGAGCTGCAGCGCTTCATCAGGCTGGAGCGGGGTGGCGAGTGAGAGGCTGGAGAGGCGGCAGCATCGTCGCGGAGGGCCTTACAACCACGAGGGCTCCGGGGACCATGGCTTCCAAATCCAGTGACCACACCCTCCCATGCTGGCTGGATGTGGACATCTGCTCGGTGGCAGAAGGGGTAGGA